CCCTACTTCTCTTTCTCTCATCCTCTTCATGATGGTTGTAAGACGACGCTTCGGGACACCCTCTAATCAAATGAGGACCATCACAGAAGAGCACTTCAATTTTTCCTTGCTCCCCTTCTTCTTCACACCAGACTTAGCCTTGTCATTCTTTCCGATGGCTTTCCTTGACTACGAACAATCAATGGCTCACATTGGCCGTTTCGAAGAGCTTCCTCTACCCATCTCCCCGCTGCACCTTTTCCCGATCTTCCCCATTATTGCCACTATCTCTGAGCTTGGACACATCGCTACTTGGCTTGACACCTGCAAGCTCAGTCAGCTTTCGGCTACAACTATGGCCTCCGAAAATCTCTGGCATCACCTTGCTCTCCGAGCATTGCCCTGGTCTAAGTCCTTCCAAGAAGGTCTTGAGCATCATCCAACTTCTCAATTTTCACATTCTCTTCGTCTGCAGCCATCGCTCCCACTCGAATCTGGCTTCATTTGGATCGTTTCTGACAATTTCTGTGAACCACCGTGTATTAAAACACCTCCATCGACAAGCTCGTATCGCCGACCAAATTTTACTATTCACGAAATTCACTATTTACATGAATAGTAACCTCACAGAAAACTTGACAAAATTCACAAACAAAGGCTCATGATACTAGTTGTTGAGAAATAAAAGCGGAAAAATAATACCCGAAATTGATAACGGAGTTCAACCAATTATGCCTACGTGTCCAGACTGCTGCGGTCTGCAGATCTTTACTAAGAGAAAATTTACAGGTGTTTACAAAACACTCATAACTCACAAGAAAGCTCTTAGTGGGAAAAGAAAATTGATTTAGGATGATTTTTAAGCTAAATGGTAAGGTATTTATCGTTAAAGTTAGGGACTAATCTTTAAAAATACCCTAAAGTGTAGTGACTAAAGTGCAGTTTACCCATTTCCATTTTCAACACAAATCTGCCAACTTTGAAATTGTGCACCATTCAGTTCCAAACTTTGAACATGCACCGAATGGTTTTGGCACCGAATGGTGCAACCTTATTTGACTAACATGTACATTCTCAAACTATTCAAAAATAATCATCATCATGGTTCTCCGGAAATGATTCATTTAATGCTAGATATATATACACACACAACCCTCGAATCAAGCCATTTTATGATATTTCGACGGTAAAAGGGAACAAATATTGTAGATCCTCTAGATTTCCTTAGCAAGACACTCTCGTATATCAAGACAAGACTTTTGGAGAACTCCTCTGTGATTAAAGCCGTAAGAGAACATCTCTGGACATAGAATCTCAAGTGTTTTGTACCTCTTGAGAAGTTATAATCTCTTAATACAATTTTGACACACACGATATCTCATAATCAAAATCTATTGACAACTAGTGATATATCTTAGACATGTCAATCTACGAGTAACTATTATGATCTTACACCTTTCACTAACACTAAGATTTCTATAAAATTTCTTAGCCAAAACTGACTGAAAGATCTAAAATCATCATCATCACTTCTTTTATTTTTTCCTTTTTATGGAAACAAAGGATATGAATACCTACCAATCTCCATATAACCACCTATCGCAATTTCTTTTTCAAATTAAAAAGGAGAAATTGTCTAACTTTTTTTCCATCAATTATATTATATATTTTATATATGATCAAATTAAGTCAAAAGTTCTTTTCTTGTTCATATTACTCCCACATGCTTTTGTTGTTATTAAGGATCGAACAAAGAATCTATAGAGAGAACTGGAAGTGTCATTGAAACATTATAACCTAAGCACATGGAGAAGGCCATATCGGGATAATTCCAAAGATAAAAAAATGTTACCTTCCATGTGGATAAGTGGTATGAGCCCAAACACGAATGAAACTTCCAACATCAGTTTATCAAAAACTTAAAATAAATACATACATTCTTACAGATGTTATTTAATACTCTTATGCTATTTGGGATCGTTGAATAATCCTCAGACAAAAAATAACACTCATTTCTTTATATTTTTTCCTTTCCATTTACATCATATATACAGAATAATGCCCTTAACCCACAGAATTCGTAATGAACCCATTTCCCAGGTACATAAGAAACTGCAGCTGAGGTTAAACAAGGGGATTGCATATGCTGGAATTTGAACCCATACTTGCTTCTTAAGGGTATACGTAAGAATATATAGATCCTTAATACAAAGCATGTGGGAGTAATGAACAAGAAAAGAAAAAGGAAACCCTGAATTATTTTTCACTTTCTCTTCCTTTCTCCCCCATTTCTCTTAACAATTTAAAATTCTTAGTTATCTTTCAACTGTATTTTCCACGGTTCTGACTACTTTCGAGACAGTGGCATTGCAAAAGAAACATCATTGGCAATTTAGAAGATGTCTAGTTATGCACACATAGCAAGACCTATGGGAACTAGGAATGGCAGAACGACCCGAACCCGACGGGGAAACTCGAAACCCGGCTAAGTTCGGGTCAGGTTTGAATAATATCGGGTCGGGTATCAGGGTAAAATTTGAGGATTTTTTCGGGTTCGGGGAAAGGTATCCCCGCCCCGTCCCGATTATATATATATATATATAATATTTTATATATTTTATATTAATTATATATAATACAAACAAAACATTTAACCTAGGTAGTTGAATGAGATTCGAGGTAAGTCGGTAACACTATATTCTATATTAACTTATATGTCATTTCATTTTTGATTAATATTTGTAATAAAGGATAATTTATGTTATTTTATTTATAGAAACTTATTCGGAAGAGACTGAGGCATATTGTCGCTCTGTTAAATATGTTTATAAAAACATTACTATTTTGGTAACATGCTTTTATGATTATTAAAGTAAAATTTGGTTGATTTATTGATAAATTTCTCAATGTAGGGAGCTACCAAAGAAAATGAAAAAAGTGGCATAACGATTTTGGATGACTTTATTTGACTTAATATTACGTATGCATCTTCGTTGTATGATTTAAATATCGAAACAAGTTTGTATTTAATTATGTATGTGTTTTATTTTGGAGTTTAGACAATTATTTAGAATTGAGTTTGAATTTGTGACTGTAGTTTGAATTGTAAATCATGTAGATTGATTTTTCAGTTTTTTGTGATCGTTTTTTCTATTTTTTATGAAAACTACGGTTACTCGTTTTTTCTCGAGATCGGGTCGGGTTCGGGTACAACATTTCTGGTCGGAGACGGAGCAAAAAAAATCCTTGACAGGAGCCCGATAAAAAAACCCGACGTGGAACGGAGAGGGGACGGGGACGGAGATTCATTTCGGGGACGGGGACGGGGACGGGGGAGCAAAAACTGCCCCGTTGCCATTCCTAATGGGAACCCGGTATGAACCGTGCATCAGCTTTGAAGGCATAACAGATGCAGCACATGCCGTCGTCTGCATTGGTTTCTCCACATTCAAGCTACCCGATCTTCTTTGAATCACTATGGCTGATAAAGGGAAGTCAAGAAATTCTCCTGCGAACAGAGGTTAGGCACGTAGGCTTCTCCCCCAAAGGATGTAGCCTGCAAAATGGCGTAAAGGAATCAAGACTATGAATCGAAACCTTGAGACTAAAAGAAATTTTTTTTCCTGGCTCGCTAATGGAGAAAAAGAAAGAAGGAAAGATGATGAACTGTTGGAGATATTAGAGATAACAATACTAACCCAATTATACTCTAACATGTATTGCAAACCATAATGCATAGTTTTGGGGCAATACATGTTTGCAAACACATCCACAATATTATTCTGTTCCTTGAATTCAGAGTCCGTACTAGCATCCAACAAATTCTCAATGATCCCTACTAAAGGGGCTAATATCATGCCTCTGTTTACTTTCTCTAAAGATTGACCGTGCCGTAAGAACAAAAGCAAGTCTTTTTAGGTACAATGCTTTTCACATACTAATTAACAAGTCATACCGTTATATTTAGTTCAACTAATTACAAGGCAAGGCTGTAAGAATAGTCGGTTCATACATCGGAGGGAAAAAATCCAAAATGTGAAACTTTCTACGTGTCCACCAACATATTTAAGTGAGGAAAAAAAAAGGCCGGCTTAAATATAAAACCTATGCTGCTCCGACTAGTTTTCTTGAAGAACCTGTATCCAACACCTGTGTCCGGCATTTTCGAATATGGGTATAGGAACATGATCCCTGAAAGACTTTAAATACAAGGAAAAACTTGTGTGTTGGGGGAGGGGGGGTTAATATACCAAAACCTAGTTCCCAAGTCCAAGTAACATGGCACAAAAGAAAAATGAGATACAAGAACCAAAAATAAAGTTCATCAAATGACAAGCATGCAACTTCTTAAACGGCGATCAAGTAACATATCCACTCTCCTTATACGACAGATTAGAGCATTAATGTGGAAAGTTATTGGGACATTAGACATTATAATTTAAAAAGAAAAATGATCGTCATAAAAAATAGATCAGCCACGTAACAACTTACAAGTAAAAATATTCAGCACCTGCTGCTCACTCGTGCACAATGGGACAGCCACTATTTTATTTTTTTTTCCCATTAATGTTGTACGATCACACCAACAAACCAAACAACTTACGTGGTTAAAAATAATTATAAGTAACCATTTATATAAACAGTAGAAGTTAATTTTGATTAAAATTTAAAATTTCAAAAATATTAAAATACCTTTTAAACAGTAGAAGTTAATTTATATCATTGTGTAAATAAATTTATATGAATTAAAATCAATTATACAATTTAACATATCAAAAAATGCAAAAACTACAATTACATACACCACACAAATTTACAATGCTACAGTAAATACTTCAATCAATGATAGAGGCACACAAATTCAAAAACAAAGTAATATCATTAATTTTTTTGGTTAATTTTATATTGAGATTTTAAAAGTTTTAAAAATATCTAAAAATGTATACAAGAATAAAATAATAAATCATTGATAAATAAATAAAAACTAATGAGATAAAACTAAAATTACTCGAATTTGTTTAATTAGGCTTGATCAAATCTTGAATAACTATAAATCAACATTTTTACTCTTTTTTTTTTTCAGGTGGAGAGACTATCTTTGGTTTCTTTGTTCGGTAGTTTTGGAACTAGTTTCAGACAAAGAATCAAGACCCAAGCACTTGAGGAATGCAAGCTTAAGAAAGTGACAAGGATGATGACAATTCTGATTTCCAGAACATTCCTCCATTTCTACATTCTCTCCTGCTGCTCTTATTACTCCTTTGCTCGTCCCTGGGGCTATTTCACCCTTTATGCTCTGCTCTTCTCCCACCTGCCACCACCCAATGTTCCATGTTTAAACAAGTCAACCATCTATGTTAGATTCTACACAACACAAACATATAGCGTCTGTTAAACAGGGATGGACTGAGGAAGGACTGCTCGAGACAATTGTTCTCTAGAAAACTTTAAATACGTATTTTCTTTTGTATTTTTATTGATAATTTATTTTCGTCCCTTAAAATTTTTTAAACTTGCCCCTTGCATAAAATTCTATGTTCCCCATACACAAAACATTACCCATAGGCATGTAAACGAATCGAACAAACACGAACGAGAGTGTTCATGTTCGTTCGTTTAACTTTAATCTAGCAAACGAACGAACACGAACAACTAAATGAACATAATTTTTTATTCGTGTTCGTTCATTAAAAAATATAGTATATTCGTGTTTGTTCATTAAAATGACAAACAAACACAAAAGAACATAAACGTAATTCAATCTATCGTGAAATGAAAGGCAATACATATGTGAATAAACCTTAAAATAACATTAACAAACATATTACCCAACATAAATCAACGAACCAGTCATTTGTTCGTGTCCGCTCATTTAATTATAAGAACATAAATTCTTGTTCATATTTATATTTTGTTCATTTAACAAATAAACAAATATAAATGAACTTGACGCTAATAATTTGTTCAACATTTGGTTCGGTCCTAATTATATCCAGCGGTAAAATTGGACCTCATACAAAATTAGCAGTCTCATCACATCTGTCAAGTACAATACACGCCGAGAAGTACATTAAAACCAAGTGAACCAACCTTTTTCCTTTAGTAATGATATTAATATTTAATACTATCATATGATAAAGACACCTTAATACCGTAAAGCTTAGAACCACCGTCCATTACATAGTATTTGCGAATTGTCCTCTACCATTGGTACACAGTCTCGTTTTTTAATATCACAGTTTTATTGTATTATTCAATGCATAAATTATAATATAAAATATGAAATAGAGAGGATATTGCTTAGCTTCCAAGTTCCAAGTTCCTCGTATCGAAAGAAGCAAAAAACACTAGAGAAGAAATTGCTTATCTTCCAAGTTAAAGCCTAGAAAAAAAGCATAAAGTGAAAAAGAAATTTCTTTTCATTTGACTGATGGATCGGATTTCTGGCAGAATTTTGTGTTAAAAGTGAGAATTAAAGCAAAAGCCTTAAGGTTCGATACTATATAGATTTGCTAACCAAAAAACAAGGGGCCCCAAACACTATAATTCCCCAAAATCCAATTATTGAAGAAATCACCAGTAATTACCAGGATTTGGACATGTTTTTAATTTGAACTTCAACTATTACGAATTTAATTTGACAAAAAGAAAATAAAAGAATATAACTCCAAAATCAGCTCAATCAAATCCGAACCTCAAAACATAGATCCAAATGTGAACGGAGACCCAATTGAATATCGAAAAAAGAAGAGTTGGGGGAAGGTAAATAGATCAAAGGGTAAGTGGGTTCATACCTGGGAAGCCTGGAAACGAGTGGAGACCAGCGTTGAAGTATGATTAAAAACAGGCATTTTATCCGACTCGGAGGAAAGGGGAGCTGAAGCGGCGGAGAGGTCCAACTCGAAGAGGCTGCCGCTGGTGGTGTTGGTGGCGGCGAAGCAATAGAGGAGAAGTATAAGAAGGAACATCACGAGTATTTGGATCCAAATTAGCCATGGGATGCTGTTGCTTAGAATCGTTAGTTCATCTCCAAAATCAAACATATTTTTGCTTTCCCTTTTTTTCCCCCTCAGCTCAAATTATTTGAAGGGAAGAAAGGTAGGTGAAGAAGAGCCGAAAGAAAAGAATCGAGACGTGAGAATAAGACTTCATTGTTTGGAGCTTTTCTATGATTGATTAATGGATGCTGACTGATGAAGAAATTATTTACTTTGTTTGTATGGGAGGTGGTGAAATGTTTTTATAGCTCAGAAAAACACGCGCCTAATTGCACGCGTGCTTCAGTTGCGGATCAGCCGAGATTCTTGCCCTCTGGCTCTTGCGGAGTTGAAGTGTTTTGATCGGATCGGTTTGCAACGGATAATAAATTGAAAATGAATGTGAATATTATTATAAAACTTTAAATTTCTAACAATTTCTTCATATTGGTACTAGAAATATGCAAAATAAAATTACAAAACATACAAATCATGATTTTTAAGTACGAAACGTAAAATTAAAATTGAATTTTATCTTTAAGGTTCTAAATTTTACAACTGATTCTTATTAATCAATTACAGTTTACATTTATTAATATATCTATTTATTTTGAAACTTACTATATAATTTAATTTACAAAAATATATAATTCAATTTATAAATCTTCTTAGATGTTTATAGTAAAATATGCATCTCATTTAAATTTTATTAGGAAATAGGAACATCTCTTGAGATAAAAATTTAGTTAAAAAGGTACACAATAGTCAATACTAATCACAACTTACGGTCTTATTAAAAACCTTAAAAAACACATTGGTTATAGAAAGAATATCAAATGTATTTATTCCCGCTAATAACAACATCGCTTAACATCTTTAAACCATCACAGTTCAAGTATATTAACCCTTTAAATATTATATTTGGCAACGACTTAATGAACAGATTAACCAGCTTATTGTTGGAACGGTTTTGTTGAATTTCTATATAATTTTTATTTTCAAGATCACAAGTAAATAATTTTGATGAAATATGTTTTATTGTTTTTTTTAGGTATTTTTGGACAATCTAATTCTAATCCTATTTAAGGGGAAGAGAAAATAAGATTTTAGGGGAAGGAAATAGAGTAAGTTTAGTGGATTTATAACCTATGATCCAAGAAAATATGAGAAGACAAAGATAAATAATTTAACTAACCAATCAAATGTGATTGCTCCACTTTTAATTGAACTATATTTTTTTATTATTAAGAGAAGGTATTTTCAAAGTAGTATTTGTTCTAAATACTCTCGACCATTTAAAATATTACGCTCAATAACCCTACTGCATTAACTGATTCTCGAATATATATATGACATTTAGAAACAACAATGATTATTTTAATCACTTAAATAAATGTTTTGTGCTACTATACATAATGTATAATCTTAACATAATATCAACTTTTATCTTCTAGATAGTAGTTAATGTTTAATCTGTTGAAAAACACCCACCTTTGACACTTTTTACAAAAACTCGTCTTCAATAACCCCCTTCAGTCGAAGAAAAGCTAAGTTTTGATTCATTGGTTGCTGAAAATCTTGGGTGCAGCAGTTTGGCCTTGTGCCATTGTCAAGCCGCCTGTCAAGTCGTTGTCTCAAGGAAGCATTATGTTCTACCTGCTCTTTGGCAAATCAAAACAAAAATGGTGTTGTTCCTTCGCATGAGCGGAACTAGGAATATGTTATAACGGGAGTTAAATTTTTTTTTTATTTTTCATAAACACAATTTCTATTAATTGAAGGGGTCTGATAAATTTTTCTTTATTTATTTTTTAAAAAAATATATTTTTTATATTAATTAATAATTAAAAATATAATTGGCGAGTTCCAAAGCTCCCCTTATCCCTTCCGCCCCTGGTCCTTCGCCCATAAAGCTGACCGTGCCAACCAACGTAAGCCTTCTTCAGACCCAGTGCAAGCCACTCAGAGAATATAGGATCCAATTACACGTGATAAAATATTTTAATTTTACATAAATTTAAATCAGTGGAAGGGTAAAATTAAACAACTAAAGTTTACGATAAATTACTTAAATGACCATTTAATTATGGATTGGTTTGGATATAACTACTATACTTTTAATTTTACCAACATAATTACATAATTATTTAAATGATTTCAATGTAGCCACCTCTCATTACAAAACAAACGATGTAGCTAATGTGATTGTTATTGAGTAACATCATAACTAAATCATTGGATGAATGAAAATAGACGAATGAGATTAATTTCTTTTTTCCTAGTGAATATCCCCTCACTTTTTACTGTTAAAATCGTCAATTATCAATATAACTAATATAATACCAACATTTTATATATTTTTTAATAGAAGTAGTTAAATTTATTAAAAAGAAAAATAATCAAAATTACAATAAATGTTTACAACCATAATCTTAAACTAAAAGCATGATTAAGATATTTTCTTATAGCCATTACCACAATAAATTAGTCATTTAAGATTATATAAGGACCATATAAAGAAGATGTTACAAACTCAACTAAAATACTCGAACAAAAATAGATATGAATAGATATGAAAACATCAACAAACGAACCGTAAAAGTTGATGAAAACTACTGAAAGATCGGGTACAACCCACATTTCAGAGTTGAACGACGTAAGAAGACTATTCACGAACATAACCACATATCTCAGTTCAATCCAAATGTTCAACGTATGAAAGATCATCAGGATAACAAATAAGCGTCTTCTTAATCAGTCTAGACATCTTCAAATTTACCAATGAAAAAATAAAATAAAAAATAATCAAACGACAAAAAAAATATGCCAAAAGACAGAAAAAAATATATGAAGGTAGAAAAAATTACAATAAATATAGAGCTATTAAAAGTTAAAAATTAAAAAGGAAATAAAGTACAACATAAAAAAATAAGCAAAAATAAGAAAGTATTGATAAACTCTAAATCTGAGTCGCCATTGGCCAATTAAAAACAAAAAAGAAAAAGAGTAAACGGTGTAAAGAGGAAAAAAAGCCAACATTTATAATTAGAAGTTTAAATAAAGGGGTAAATTACAAGCTTACTCATTGAAATTTATTCTCTCTTCTATTGAATTTTTATTTTTTTAATTTACTCACTAAATTTTATACATTAAACTTTTTTTGATCACTCGGCCGTTAATCATGTAACCGTGTTATGATGTGGAATTATATAAATGATTTTTAAACGTTTAAAAATTCTGTTTTTAACATGTCTGAAAATAACAATGACATGTCAGAAATAAATAAAATGTACTAAAAAATAGGGTTGAGTTTTGTAATTTACCCTGTTACAATTTACCTCCACCTTTTCTCTTTTCCTCCATTGTTTTTCCTTCACTTTCTTCCATTTCTCTTTTCTTCTCTGCTTGTTCCAATGGGCAAAAAAGGAACTTTTGAGTTTGGAATCAAAATGGAATCTTTGAAGCTTTGATTTCATTAATCAATCCTTTTTGTTTCCTTTTTTTCAAAAATATTTTTTTTGGATAAGTTAAATTTTATTGTCCAGGGAGCAATGTTACTACAAGAAATATCCTAAAAGGGTGTATAAACAAATACTTACAACAAAAAATTGTTAGTTTGTGTAACACCCCAATTTAGGGACTAAATTTTAGAAATTATAATGTATTGGATTTAATTAGTATTTTGAAAGAAATGGTGGATTAAATTATAAAATTTCAAAGTTGGTAGATCGTTTTAAGAAGTGCAAGAAATTCAGTGGCTAAACTCATGATTTGACCATTTTTCTTTTGGGATGAATTATAACCCCATTCTTGTATGTTTTTATGTAGATTTCCAGTTTTTCTCTTCTCCTTCAACCCTTCTTTCAACTCCGATCTACTCACCGTCCGACGTCCGATCGATGAATCGAAACCGCCATCGTGTTCGTTGTCGACCAAGGAACAAAACCCCTCAAATCTTTAGTCGTGAATCGTCGCCGTTCGTCGTTAATTTCAGTCGGAAGTATCGTCGGTAATAACTCGATTTCAGTTGATTTTTCGCTGATTCACGACGATCCGGTCATCCGTTTACGACACCTCCCACACCATCGTGTTCCTTGCATCGTTCCGAGTCTACCGGTGTTCTCCGTTTATCCATCGGCGGCGGCGCGTGGAGGGGTGAGACCGTCAAAGTTTTTGACGTTTTGGAATCGAGCTCTCCTCCGTTCAAAATTGTGAACCAAGCTTTGTAAGTGCCTCGAAATCGCTTAAAATAATTTTTAGGAATTTTTTTCGTGATTTATAGGCTGCCGGAAGAGGTCCCACGTGCCCACACGCGCCATGGGGAAGGTCAAAATGACCAGTTTGACCTGTTTAACCGGTTCCAACTCGACCCGACACGTTTATACGAATCGACCCGTTGACCACAGTTGACCAAAACTTTGACTGGGCATTAAACGACCTTTGACTTTAACCGAGTATACCTATCCTGATATTTTTCGACGTTTCATATCCGATTCCGCAGTCCGTTTTTCAAAATTCGGACCCGAAGACCTCGAAATTGCCAGTCAAACCTGTTAACTTTGATTTTGACCGAAAATTCTAAATTTTTGAAAAGTCATATTTTATGCTTTCGACATCCTGAATCCGAAGTCTGTTTCGCCAAATTCGAAACTGGTAAGCTATTTTTCACTGATTTATCACCCGATACGATCCGTTAATCTCAATTAAGCTCCGTTTTTTTATATAATTTATGTTGATATGTATCTGAGGAAATATTGGAAGATGATTTCAAGATCGAGGACGTTCGAATGGAATTTAATAGTCGATCAGTATTGCATGAAAATTGAGGTAATACTTTACTACCTCTTTATGCTTTATGGAACATGTTGATATTGGTAAATGCATGAACAAGATAATGTTGGTCACTTTTATGGCGTTGAATAATTTATATACTCGATATGAATGTGGTAGAAATTTTGTAACTGAATACGGATCGAATGACTAATATAAGAGATTGATGAATTGTTAAAAATTAAATTACAAGTTTGTGATTGGTGATAAAGAAATCAGCCCTGGATTTGTAACTTATATTTTATATCATCAAAGGTTAAATGTTAAAGATACTTGGATGGAAAATTATGAGAATACTCTGGTAGGGTAAAATTACGAAAAT